AAAAGAGCGAGACTCTGTTTCAAAAAAAAAAAAAAAAAGACAAAAGAAAAGCGTTGGCAAGGATGTGAAGAAAAGGGAACACTCACACACTTGGGATTGTAAACTAGTACACCCATCATGGAAAACAGCATGGAGGTCTCTCAAAAAATTAAAAATAGAACTAGCATATTATCCAGCAATCTCACTACTTGGTATATATCCAAAGGAAATTAAATCAGTATGTCAAAGAGGGATCTTCACTCCCATGTTTATTGCAGCACTATTTACAATGGCCAAGTGTCCAACAAGGGATGAGTGGATTAAGAAAATGTATATATACACAATGGAATACTATTCAGTCACAAAAAGAATGAAATCCTGTCATGTGTGACAACATGGATGAACCTGGAAGACATGTTAAGTGAAATAAGCCAGGCACATAAAGACAAATACCACATGATCTCATTCATACATAGAATCTTAAAGTAAAAAAAAAAAAGTTGGTATCATAGAGACAGAGAATATAACAGTGGTTACCAGAGATTGGGCAGGGAAAGAGGCAGAGGGTGACAGGGTGAGGTTGGACAATGGGTACAAAGTTACAATTAGATAGAAAAGAATAAATTGTGACTATAGTTAACAATATAATATTGTATATTACAAAATAGCTAGAAGAAAAGCTTTTGAAAGTTCTCACCACAAAAAAATGATCAATGCAGAAGTGGCAGATATACTGACTTCCCCATTTAGATCATTACTCAACATAGATATGTATCAAAACATCAAATTATACCCCATAAATATGTACAATTACAATGTGTCGATTAAAAAATTAATAATTTTTTTAAAAAGATTACATGTTATTTATCTGATCAGAGGTTTGTCTGCTGGAAAGCTGCAATAGGGAAGCTTTACCTCTTAGCTTGCACAGAGAAACTAGTAAACCAGGGCCTTAACTACCCAACCACTGCTCCCAATGTGTATAACTGAACTCTCACTAGGCAAGGATTCTAGATGGGATTCAGATCACGAAGTTTGAAGTCCTAATCTGTCATTTATTAACTACATGGTCTTAGACAAATTACATCACTTTTCTAAACCTTAGTTTTCTTATTTATAAAATGGGTAATATAGTATCTACCTCAAAGAGTTTAATTTAAGGATAATTTAAAGATTAATAATTACTTGCAAAAAGTATGCACAAAAGTGTATGTATGCACATACATATGCCTGTATATGAGGAAGTGGGTGTATATGTATACGTGAATATGTGTGTGTGTGTATGACTAAAAATGCCTAGCTTAGTAGCTCCAAAACTTGATAAACAGTAGTAATTGTTATTATTATTATTATTATTACTAACAAGATTAGATTATTAATTACTTCTGAATATAAGCATAATTACTTATATAATTTCAAGCTGTTTAGATTTAAAATCATGAAATTATAACATGAAGTACATAACTGAAGTTAGGGTCTTTCAAGTAGAAACCCTTTCAACTTACCATTCATTATTCACACAACTTTACATAAATGATTTTCAAATCCTATGGTGCACAAAAGTGAAAATTTTGATTGATTCTGCTTTAAGGATTACCTTTCTAAACTGCCTACTCAGGTAAAGATATATCATTAAATTATTTCTCTAAAACATCTTCCGCCTCCCCCTATCAGAGTTCATTGCAGATGCTCAATAAAAGCTGAATGAAAGGATATGATGAGTGATGGAATTGTTACAAATTTTAAAATACTCATAAACTAAAAGAAAGTTTTAAAATGTGAATTCAGAAATAAAATCAGTAACAGCTGGCTTATTTAACTCTAATATGGACAAGCAATATAATCTATAAGCAGGAAACACCAAAATCATCCATATAACTTATTATTCCATGAAAATGCTTCACACAGATTTCAGTAGTTACCCCCATACATACTGGTCATAGCACTAAAGCTATCACTGGATCTGTGTCCTGTACCCGCAGGTCCAAAGCCAACAACCTTACCAAGAGTGACAGAGCTGGGGGCCCTCAAAGGGGAAGTGTCCAAAAAGAACCTCTGATTTTCTTGCTGTGACATGTATATACATTTTTATAGATACTTACATACCTTTATATACTGTAACCCCCACCCACCCACATAGTATAGTACATTCCAGTTTATAAACATTTCATAGACAGTATCTCATTTGAGCATGATGACAACCCTGTTAGATAAACATGAGAGATATTAGAACCCCACTTAACAGATGAGGAAACTGATACTTAGATCGAGTAACATGTCCAAGGTAACACAGATATAAAATGGGGCTGAGTATCAGGCCAACAGTCTTTCTACTACAAGACAGTTTTATCCCTAAAAAGTTAAAATTTTTTGATAAATGTGCTATGAGTCCTCAAAAATATAACAGTAGGAAAGTACTGGCCTAAAAAGACAGAAGATTGGGATCTGAATCTCACTCTACAATTGTCTATCTATATAAGCTGAAAAATTTACTTAACTCCTCAGAGCCTCAGTTTTCTCATCTGGGAAACTGACAGAGTAACATCTATCTTGCAGGATTACAATGAAGAGTAAATGAGAAAATGTATATAAAAGGCCCCCTTCAATAATATCTACGATATAGTAGGTGTTTAATAAATAGTAGCAACTATTTTTATTATTATTTTCCTTTTTCTCTAGGTATTGGCTACCTCAGATGCTAACAAATAGGATTATCTTAAAGATTTTTTCTAGTTCTAAAAGGTTATTTTTCTATAGGAGAATGAGCTATTCCTTTCTATATTAAAAGAAATTCTAGGGTTTCTAAATGTGGGTCACATTGCTCCTATCCGTAGCTTCTCAAAATGTTTAGAAAAACTTAACAAGCGATGCGCTCATTAAATAAAGTGTAACTTACCAATAGCTTTGCAGCTTGAACACGAACCACCCAGGAGCCATCACTGACCATGTGACAAATTTTTCCAAATGCATCGTCAACTAAGCGAATTTCTTCATTAGAAGAAGGGATTGGGACAATGCTAAATTAAAAGAAATCACATATGATAAAACATGATCCTAAGGCTGCAGATTCAATAAACTGAGAATGACTAATGAAGATTGACACACATGGAAATGATAATTGAATAGTTCATATCCTAGAATGATAAAATATATTTCAGAGTAAATAAATCACTGTGGGAGTATGAAGGAACACTTTTAGCTGCACTGCAAATTTTCAGGGTCTTAAATAAAACTGTGTAACCAACCAAAGGCTCAGAGATTTATGAAGATACCAAAAACTAGCTATCAGAGTATTTTATATCCTTAAGTTTAACATCTCCTATAACTGAACTGTTGTACCTACGGTAAATCTCAGAATAAATCGATATAAAGCCTACTCGCCACACTGGTCCTAAAAGAAGAGACAATTTCCAATTAGTCTTTATCTGTGTATGTGTCTAAATCCTAAAAAACTACAAATAGAGCCTACTCCTATAGGTTTATTAACTCATTCTGGTTTTCAAATTTTGGCAGTTTAATAAAGAAGAAAGAACACCTCTTTTTCCTATAGAAGCAGCTCTTCTATAAAATGGAATAAATATTTTTCTTTCCACCTCAAAGAATCACTGTGAGAATCAATGATTTAATTGCTGTGAAAACATTTTTAACCAGGAAAATAGTGCATAGGGGATCATTTTTCTCAAACTCGCCTGGTATCGTTATCTGGCATTTGGCCCAAAGCAAATGAAATTAAAATGGGTGCCAAACAATTCTAAAGATTTATTTCAAAGTGCTGAAAAGCACTAAAGGAAGATATCCCAATTTCTTCGCTTATAGATGAGAAGATTGGGAGCCAAAGAAATGAAGTATCTTTCTCAGGGTGCACAGAGATGAAAAACTCCTACCAGAGATGAAAAACAAGGACCAGGCATCCTGATTTTCAGGGCCTGTGCTTTTCCCCTAGTTCACAATACCTTCTAAAAATCGAACCAACATTCCTTTTCTAGAGATGGGCTTTTTGCATGGTGAGAAGAGAGAAATGGCTTAGCAATGAATAAAAGCTGGCTTACACCCACACTTACCTTTCAGGGTAGAGCTGACTAACAACCCAGATAAGCTGGACTGCAGCACTGCGCACTTGTTCATAGTCATCAGAGAGCAATTTACAGGCCTGCAAAGAAGAATTCCAAAAGTGTATTAGTTCTGTGTCCTGGCAGGAAACGTTCAAATTATTTTTAAAATGAAGATAGGGTGGCTGGATAAGGATGCCAAATAAAATGCTTGTGGGTGGTTTTAATTTCTTGAACCTTTGCCCAACAAAGAAGGCCAACCTTTGCTTGGCCTCTGTCAGCTGCTCTGGCTGTATTCTGACTATGAGCCCTTCTTCACCATGTCTGAAGGCAAAACCACATAGACTGACAGCACAAAAACCATCTAGCAAAGCTTGCTGGGAGCCCACAGTACTGCTCTCAAAGGTTCAAACACCAAAGACGGGTTTTTCCCCACTGCCTGTAAAAGTAAAGCACATACTTCTGTTTACTTTGGTCTAAAATCATTGGCCTGTTTCAATTCACTCACTCTTCCTGGGTATCCCCATAATCCCTAGATATCGATGGCTCCAAATATCCACTTTCAGCTCTGATTTCCCCTGTTCTCCAGACCTTCATAACTACCTATGGCCTGGAACTTCCTTCACAGGTGTCCCATCAACCTTCCAAACTCCACATAACCAAACTAAACTCATTATGGAACCATATTCTACCTTATATCTCAAATCCTACATTATCATTCCATCTTCACTCCCTTGAGGTCTCATTACTGCTTGCCTAGATTACTGATATAATCTTATGCCACTAAACATCTGAATCAGCCAACTAACTTTGCTTCCTCTGAGTCCTTACTCTCCAAGTTAACTTTAATTATTTGGCTCCCCATATAATTTTCCAATAGGAAAAGAATATGATGGTCACACCAACACAAGCATCCTGGACCCATTCTACTCCATTTTGTAAAAGAATAAACTTGGTTTACAGAGCAGTTATAGGAGCTTGGCTAATTGCTATCTTCCCCTGAAATAAAACCACTTTGGCAGGCTAATAAAATTTGATCTTCTCTGAGCATGGATTTAGATTGTCTGTTACCAGATTCATTCAATTATTCTCCAAGGGAATATCACCTTGTAAGGCCTTTTGGTTAGGCTGTCAATCAGCTTTTTCGTAACTTCATTAAGCCTTTCTTTATGGATAATACATCATGTGACATCTTTTCATATGATCCTATGGTCTTGGTCACCTTTCTCCAGACACACTCTAGTTTGTCAAGTGTGGTGCCCAGAAATGACTTAATGTATGGCCCAAACAGAGATCAGTAAGACTACCACTTTCCTTATTCTAAATACTAAGCTTTTCTTCATGCTCTCTGGTATTCATATTGAGCTACTCAAATCCTCTTAAAAGTCCTTCTCACATGTATTAGTGCTATACAATTACATATCCCCCATTCTGTCCCTGAAAAGTATGTTTTGGGCATGACTTCACAATCACCCCAATTATGTTGCCACTATCAGCCAGCTAAATCCTTATGTTTTCAAATTCCAAAAACCAATGGGCCATCCTCTCAGCTTCATAATAACTCCCCTCCCCTTCCAGATGATAATCATTTATGATACCTGATTATAAATTGTTTGATGTAATTTCAGTCCTCTTTCATGGAGCTGCAACTAGACAATAAAGACACGGTTTAAGTATTTGGGAGAAAAAGATCAATATTTCCAATGTCTTCCCATAATGTCGCATATTTTCCCCTATGATAGCACACTGACCTAATTCCTTTAGCCAAAATCAATGTTATATAAATAAGAAACCAATCTTACTACTGGATATCTACCCAAAGGAAAAGAAATCATTACAACAAAAAGATATCGGCATCAGGCCGGGCGCGGTGGCTCACGCCTGTAATCCTAGCTCTCTGGGAGGCTGAGGCCGGAGGATCGTTTGAGCTCAGGAGTTCGAGACCAGCCTGAGCAAGAGCGAGACCCCGTCTCTACTATAAACAGAAAGAAATTAGCCAAAAACAACTAAAAATAGAAAAAATTAGCCGGACATGGTGCCGCGTGCCTGTAGTCCTACTCGGGAGGCTGAGGCAGTAGGATCGCTTGAGCCCAGGAGTTTGAGGTTGCTGTGAGCTAGGCTGACGCCACGGCACTCACTCTAGCCTGGGCAAAAGAGCAAGACTCTGTCTCAAAAAAAAAAAAAAAAAAAAAAAAAAAAAGATATCGGCATCAACTACGGAATCAACTAAGTGGTCATCAATGGATGACTAGATAAAGAAAATGTGCTATACATACCCAGAGGAATACCATTCAGCCATAAAACAGAATGAAACCATGCCTTATGTGCAACATAAATGGAACTGGAGGCCATTATCATAAGTTAAACAACACAGATGCCTAAAGACAAATACTGCATGTTCTCACTTTTAAGTAAGAGCTAAATAATGTGTACACCTGGACAGAAAGTGTGGAAATGACAGACAATGGAGACTCAGAAGGGTTGGGGGTGGGAGTGTGGTGGATGTTGAGAAATTACTTAATGGGTACAATGTACATGATTCTGGTGATGGACATGCTAAAAGCCCTGACTTCACCACTATGCAATTTATCCATGTAACAAAATTACACATGTACACCATAAATTTATACTAATGTAAATAAATAAATAAGTAAGAAACCTGGTCAAACACTTTTCAGTAGAAACAGTCAAGCATTTAATAAACCTAATCCATGGACTGTCCCAAGGGGATATTAGAAAAACATGAAATAATGATCTGAAGGCTAAGGAAGAAATGGTTACCATTTCTCCTTGTTATAATACAATACTAAGTCACATCCCTCCCTGCTGAAGGGACTGTAACAGGTACAGGTTGCACCTTCCATGTTTCAGAAGCACAGATGAAAGCTACCGGAGAAGTCATTTGTTATACAGGAATGTGTACAGCTGAGTTCCATGTTACCACCAGTAATACCTCCCTGAAAGTGTGCATAAGGTGTATACTGGGGAGATTCAGAATATATCCAAGACAGCACTAGTCACGAACTTAAAAAAAGGGGGGGAACCCAAATGAAAACTACCCCCAATTAGTTTCTATAATCACATTTACCATGGCTTTTATAGCTGCTGTTCTGACACGTGGATCTTGGTCACTGAAGTAATCTCCTATAATTTTCTGGACATCTCTGGCAGCTAAGCCTTCTGCATCTTTTGTGACACTTTTCTCCAAAGAGCCAAGATTGCCAAGTAATTGTAGGCACTTATTTCTTACACCATGAGAGGTATCTGTCAAGTGCTACATAAAAAAAAGAGGAACAAAAGGACATGATTAAGGCCAGGCGCGGTGGCTCACACCTGTAATCCTAGCACTCTGGGAGGCCGAGGCGGGTGGATCGCTCAAGGTCAGGAGTTCGAGATCAGCCTGAGCAAGAG